AGTGTTTATACATATCCCACATATAGCGCATATACATCAAGCATGAAGAACCAGACAAACCAAAATACAGGACCAGTTAAAGGAAAAGGAACTGCATGTGGTAATATGCTAACAATTTCTGTGTATAAGGACCTCATTCCTGCTCAACCATACAGACCTTCTCCTGGACTCTCCGTGGCGAACTTCTATCATTCCATTTCAAAACGATCATCCGTCACATGCGATGTGATCCAGATGCTGGTCTTGAAAACGTGTGGGGCTGAAGAGCCCGCTGGTAGATGACATACTGAAATGTAGAACAAATTTTGTTTCAAGTTTAACCTGAGCTAACCCGTAGCCATCTGTAACTATCCTTGACGTTAATTAGCTCCGAGTCACGACATGCGGCCATTTTTTTCCCATCACTAGCTGCATAAGCCTTTCACTAACGGCCGTCCACACACAGGCCATGAAAAAAATCTTGAAAAATCTTGATGTGCTGAAGCTTGGCGATTCACGCGCCCAAGGCGAACCCCCAAACCAACCAATCAGTGAATCTCCCAGGAATCTCCGCCCGCCCCGGCATACAAAGCCTTCCATTCAATGTTAAAACGAAGTAAACTGGATATAACTCCCCAGACAGGTGAAAACCTACCAGTCTTCACCAACTGTCTCTGCCACCTCCCTCCATGCCTGGTTCCTTCCTGCCGGTTACACGTCCCGGTAGGGAACAGACTAGCAGTTCGTGAAAAGGACCCGGGACATTTCCACAGCGATTGATTAAAAGCATCCTCCATTTTTATGACATTGGAAAAAGACCGCCAGCGGTATCTGCGTACAGTACACCGTTTGATTGGCTAGCCGCTCACTGGCGGATTGCATAACGGGATTTGATGGCTGATTGCCAGCTTCGCAAGCACAGCATCAAAAGTAACATTGCTCAACTTTTGATGCTCATGATGCTTGCCCAAAGCCATGCTCCGATCCCCACAATGCCAGTTCGGCGAAGATTAAAAAATCTTCTATGTAACCCCATTCAAGTGGAATGGGCGAAGCTTTTTGAAAGATTGTTTCATGCCTGTGTGTGGACCCGGGCCGTAAAGGGATGTGGGACAGACATTATGTAACTGTAGGTAGAAGAGCCAAGCAGAAACTCTGCTGCCTCAATTCAAGATAAAAATAGCCTTTGGTTAGCTTAAGTGGGAGCATGAGGTAGGTGCAGGGGTCAAAGTTTTCTCTCAGACACTTGAATACAATATGCTGAGAGGTATTAAAAATCTTGTGCAAAAGAAAATGCCGAAAAGTATGTTGGGCAACTGCAGTTTTAATGTTCATAAACACATTATTATAGTCTAATAGGCCTGCATGTAACATGGAAAGGGGCGCCAAATCTGAATGGCTTAAATCCCATGTTATCTGACCCCGTAGCCCCCCAAAACGGACTGGGTTGTCTTATATCGCAGTTTATGAGATTGAAGCACTCCAAAATAACACCGTTTTCTTTCTGATCCCCATTTTCATTGTGCGTGCTTGAACTGTTGGATAGTGGGATCTCTCTCAGATATGACTGGACCCAAAATCAATTGTTGTTGGTAGGAGATTCAAACTTTGAACGGTAATACTATTGTTGTTGATTTTGGTAAACGACACTTTAAAATGTACACTGTAGAGAAGTTAGAGAAGCCCCTGCTTTGAAAAGATAAAACCGTACAACCTACAGCGTAACATCTGATAAATGACCTCTATCCAGAATGAAAAAATACGTCTTTGTCTCCTCTGAGGCCAGAGCGAGCAAATCAGAGTTCAAACATGTATGTACACACTGCTGTCCATCAAGTATCATGGTAAGCAGTTCATGTAAATCATTAAGGATCGTTCTCGTCCCTCGAGCCTCGTTGGGGACTGAAGGCCGCTGCCTCATCTCATCTCAGCAAACGCAAATGGAAAACTCTTTTTCCTTCTCCCAGGGTGGTCCAGATCACACCCTGAGACACCACACAATGAAATCAAATGTTAGTGACTGACAGATGCCCTGATGTTTTATGTATATTCTCTGTGTCAAAAGCTTGTGTGACAAGAAACGACTTGAACCTTAGCAAAATATTGAACAATTTCACGATCAGCAGATGGAAAATCTTGAAATCACATAAATTCTGTGGGATGGTGAATTTTTGCTTTAAGGTGACCTATCATGCAAAATGCCACTTTTGATGCTTTTATACATGAATATGTGTCCCCCGGTGGTCCAGGGAACTCACCAAGTTCAGAAACACTAACCCTCCTCTATTCCTTCCCCCATACCCAAATCTCTTAAAAAAGGTGTCCTGCAACGGATCTGATACAGCTGATTCCCAGATTTGAACACTTCTAAATGAAGTCACAGAAGTGGCGCTACGGCTATTGGGTCCGAACCCAACCAATCAGAAGGAGTTGGAAGCAGCTGGAGTACATATGCCAGCCTGTAGATGGTGCTGTTCTCACAGAAATCAGCCCATAAAAAGACAGTGTTAAATTGAGCGAAATGAAGAATGGCTAAAATGCATGATCTGTTTGGTATTTTGAAAAATAAAAAGTATAAATATGTCTTATATAGGTATGGTCCTATACTATATTATTCAAATATAGCGTGATAGGTCCACTTTAAGTAGGGCTGCAATAATTAGTCAACTAATCAATCAATCCATTGGGAGAAAGATAGATTAAACATTCAACTAATTTTACACGCAAACATTTCAGAAAAAGCTATTTTTCAGCCTGTTCTTCAACCTAATTGTCCCCTTATACTCTGTTTAATATCATATTAAACCGTAGGGATGGTAATTTTTTCTACATTTTATAGACCAAAAACGAATCGATTAATCTAGAAAATAATTGTTAGTTACACCCGATTGAATACAGAGACTACATTTACAGAGACAAAAAATGTGTGACTGTGATTAAACTTGCTTAAATTCGAATCATCCATGAGCTGTGCCAAAGATGAAATAGAATCAAGATCTTCCTTTTCAGGCAGATTCAATTTGGCTATTTGGTCCCAACAGAAATTGATTTAAAGATTTAACATAAATGTAACCGAACCTAACAGAGGGAATTATACGGACCCAGTAAATGCTGGCCACGTATCATTTTCTTAACTTTGCGTGACCAACACTTTTTATATTATAGCCAGTAAAAGGGTACCTGGTGATTGATGTCCTTGCCGTAGACCCCGTTGAGGTTGGCCTCGTGGCAGTTCTTGTACCACCAGCCTCCTCGGTAGGACATGGCACAGCGGGTGATGAAGGGCGCCAGGTCCCGGTCTTTGGTGGAGAAGATACGCTGGCTGTGATAACTGAGAGAGTCCCCTGAGACCGTGAACAGGAGAGAGACAAAGGGGATTAAAGGGGAAACAAAAAACATGAAAGTCTCTGATTCTTCCTTCGGATGCTGATTGTCAATCTCATTTCTTAATTGAACCCTGCTATTTCACCAGGTTGTGTTTTAGAAGTTCAGTGTCAGCTCCTTCAATAAGCCTATAAAGTGTGTAGTTAAAATACAGAGCCCAAAGAACAGAAATGCCCCAATTAAAACCAAATTAAAACGTATTATGCATTATATTTCTCTATAACAGGCTTTACATCAAGAGCCTGGCTTATAAATTGTACTTTTAAATATTTTCTGACAGAAGGGCAATTTTTGTTTGCATTATGGGGCAAATACTATGCGCTTATTCTGCTTTCCTGCATAAAAAGAAAATCCATCAAAAATAAATGCTGTTGCTAATACTCAACATATTCCAGTCTAAAGAAAGTCCACAAATAATAATATTTTTGTGGGTTTTTTTCACAACAACTTGGCATGAATTGATGTCAACAAACTGGCATTTAAACATACAAAAAAAGAATGACGTTTTAGTAGTTATGATTTGGACTGATATTATTATAACTCAGTGAAAGTCAAAAAAATTTACTATATATTATTTATTTATTTTTTGTATTCAGTACTTTAGATTTAGCCAGTCCAACCTGCAGTGCCGCTGTATCCGCCCACGATGAGTTTGTAGTTCCTCTTCACCAGCTCGAAGGTGGAGTATTTGGCGAACGCGGCGTCGTCTTCGTCTCGCAGGTCGACTCTCAGGGTCATCTTGGTCATGGAGGTCAGGTTGTAGATGTTGTCCAGTCCTAAAGCAGCAGGAGATAGATCTGTTAAGTATCGCGTAAACATGACTTCCTGTCTGGATTCTTTTTTGTTTGTATGTGAACAAAGCATGCAAGCTTAACTGACTTTATAATGTTTTTTTATGTATAAATAAAAAATAAAAAAAATACACTAAAATTCACACTGTATTGTTATAGCACCTAAAAGCACCTCAAATGTTTGCAGCTTCACTCTCAATGCTTTGGACTCAAATCCCAATATTCCTCACTTCGTGTTTGTCTCTTGTTGTTCAGAGTCTTGCATCATGATGACGTTTCTTTCTTTCTGATAGAGACTCGTTCTTTTGTCACAGAGTCAACACCAGTATTTGGGATGTTCTGTTCAGATCAACTGAGCATATAAAAGTTTGACTCAGTGACAGAGGAACAAATGGAGCACCTCAGGTTTGTTGAAGAGTTTTTCCTAATCTTCCACATTAATGGGATGTTTCTCCAGCTTTCATTTTAGATTATTCCTGTTCGGAATTTTAATGTTTCAAAAAATGGCTTCAGATTTTAGTTTTGAGGAGAAAATGTCCTTGTAAAGATCAAATATTCAGAATCCTCAGACCTGTGTTTGGATGAATCATGCAGGAAGTTTTCAGTCAAAAGATGGCGAAGATTTTGGAAATATTTTGGGTTTCAAAATTATTCTGACACGTGCAACAATTCAAAATTGATGACTCCTATTTGTAAACATTGAATTAAGAGATTGCACGACTTTTTGAGGACCTACAGATGTTATTTGCATACAAAGTCCATGGAAAGAAGTGCGGCACTTACTGATGGAAAGACTTATTTATGTGAGCATCAAAATATTTGAAACTGAGTGAAAAATTGCAACAAAACAAAAGATGAGAAAGTCTTCTGACAGACGAAAAGTTCAAGAAAAAGAGTTTAGAGAATCTGACAGAAACACACACTGGTCCTATGTTGCTAACATTCTGTTTGCAGTATTTGCAATGTAAACTTTAAAAACTGTGAAATTCAAAATCTCTCTTGTTTTGTGTATTCTCAATATTTTCCGTTGAATTTTCCGTCTCTTTCTCACCCAGCCAAAACTCTCCACTCAGACTCCCAAATCCTTTAATGTACTCCTTCCATCCTCTGAAGAAATCCACAGAGCCATCCTTCCTCCTCTGGAACACCTACACACACACACACACACACACACACACACACACACACACACACACACACACACACACACACACACACACACACACACACACACACACACACACACACACACACACACACACACACACACACACACACACACACACACATTTAGATCGTTTAGAACAGTGAATCCCAACCAAGGGTACAGGGAACCCTAACCCTAACTTGAGGGGATTGCAGGGGGTAAGTAGAAAGATTAGGGATCGCAATTTATATCAAAACTAAAAACATTTTTTAATCAATGTTTAAAACCAGCTCAAGGGGGTCCCAGAGGGAAAAGGATCGGAACCACTGGTGTAGTAGATAATTTTGAACTATTAAGTAATAATATTTCATTAATACATAAAGCAGCATATTCTCATATTTATGAAAATGGAATTAGGACATTTTACATATATAACTAAAAATGATTAAAACAAACCAAACAAAATGCCAATTAATTTCCTCTCAATCTAATTTATTTATTTAACAAATATTTTCAATTATACTTATATAATTAATGAATAACAAAACTTTTCTGCTCGTTTTGGCAAGTAACTGAAGCTGTCAGACGATTATTGTTGAGTATTGAAATTACGTAAAATGTAAGGTACAATATTCGTATCTGAGATGTAGTGGATCAGTACTATGACATGGCTTTAACACTGAAGAAAAGTAAAGTATTAATATCTCAAATTTAAAAGTGAGTCAATGTAATTAGTTAATGAATAAAAAATCATTCCACTTGATAATACATATTTTCTCTCTCACGCAAAGTGCTATTTACTATCCAGCTAACGTTACAGGTCAGCGGAAGAGAACGCCAACGTTCCATCAGTATTTGTGATTATGGAGTGTGTTATTAAAGAACATTGTGTCGGTGAGGGCCCCGCACCGTCCAGCCGCCTCCGTCCGTCTCCATGTCACAGTACACCATCACTGGGGGCCCAGATCTCCCCTGAGGGAAGATATCCACCTCTCCTGACGTCAGGATGCCGTTCAGCAGCTCCTGAGAGCAGTCTGTGGGGTAGGGGAAACTCAGGGTGCCTGAGGAGGAGGAGGAGGAGGAGGAGGAGGAGGAACACAGGAATTTAGACTTTATCTCTATCAGTTTATAACAGTGGTGAAATCAAAATGACCTTAGCTGTACAAAAAAAACTGTGTATTTTACCTTCCATTTCATGACAATTCTACATCTCAAAGAAAAATATGAAAATGTTTACTCAGTTTTATCTTTTTTTAAAAAATTTTATATACTTTATTAATCCCTGTGGGGAAATTGTTTCTCTGCATTTGACCCATCCTAGTGTTAGGAGCAGTGGGCTGCCATTATGTACGGCATTCCTTCCTGTCCAGCAAAAAAGTATGAGGTGTTTCTTTATGTGATCAGAAACGATACTACTTTTAAAGTAATAATACTAACACACCACTAAATATATATATAGTCGAATGTAATGTCTCATTTTGAATTTGTATTTGTTTATCTTACTTAATGTGTATATGAATATTTCTATTCTATTCTATGTTATCTTATCTTTTAATCTTAGTCTTGTGTTTTTAACTTTACTTTGATTTAGTTTATCTTTTCATTGAATATTCTTGTATGTTTATATACATATTTGTATTATTTTTGTATTTATCTTTATTTATTTTAATCTTAAAAGGAGCAACTAAAATGCAACATTAAATACAGCAGTAATATTCATCTAAAAACATAAAATATCAGGGTAAAACATGTTGCTGCACATTGACTACTTTTACTGTTCATACTTTAGGTAAATGTTCCTGGTAGTATATTTATTAGTACGTTTAATGCGGTACGATGCAAGTGATTACCGGTGGTGAAGTGGGTGGAGAGGGGGGCGGTGTTCCGCCCTCCGCTCTCCGTCTGGAGCTGCACCGTGTATCTGGACGAGGGGTGGAGTCTGCTCAGGTTGAACTCTGTCACAGAGCCGTCCACGACCACTTCCTGTGAAAAGGAGGAAGCAGGAAGTCAGCAGATGGTTGTACACTGAGGCCCAATCCCAAACCACTCCCTCGACCCTACCCCTCCGTGACGGAGTGAACTCCGTCTGTAGCCACACTCGCAGCTCAACGAGGCTCCCTCCTGTCAGATGGAGGGAGTAAATACAGCAGCAAGCTTTGGGAGGGCCTCCCCTCTCTCCGGCAGAAACAGGAAATGCCGTAACTGTAACAACGGTTTCAAATCAGCATCTCTTAGACAAAAAATGTAAATTAATAACTCAAATAAAACTCCAAAAATCTTTCATTGTGTTACTTTTTTGAAAAGCTCTTTTAATTTTAAACCTGA